GCTAGCGGTTTATCAATTTGCTGGTATCTGCTGTTGTAGGTTCTTGCCAGCAGATGTTGTGAAGCCCCATTTTGGCCATATCAACCACTCTGTCTCGTTGCGCTTGGCATATTCATGGTGGTGTTTTGGTTACTGCATGCTCGCTCTGTCCAAAATCGGTTTTTGCGCCACAATCATACACGTGCATTTGGACGAAAGTCTCACAATTACGTTTTTCACGTTTTGAAAAATGCACGATTAGTACGGAGGTTTTGGACAGTTGCGTTGTTACTGAAACCATGTAGCGTTTTGGCGAATGCTTGAGTTCAAACCTGTTCCAGCTTTTTAGTTTTTTATACAATTACTTTGAAAGTGATAACCTTTTTTGCCCGGTAGTTCGTTAGGTTATATTGATAAAGTTTTCAAACAACAGACTTCAGTGTGATTACAATCTGAGGAATATAAGTTATTAATGTGAAAAAGATTATCACAAAAATGACCTCACATGTAGCTAAACTTTCGTGACTTTATGCCATAATCTTGAGGTTACTCGGATAATATTAATCATAACCGTAGTAGACAGGTCCCAAACCTCTAATGCAAACAAATACATATCACACAGTCACATAGCATTGAAGTCAAGATAGCCTGGGCGGTGGAGTCGCTCAGTTGTACAGTGGACAGGATTCAAGCGCTACATCGAACAATGTTGGTTGGTTTGTTGTTTAACGCCGCACTCAGCAATATTCCAGTATTATGTCGGCTGTCTGTAAATAATCGAGTCTGGACCAGACAACCCAGCGATCAACAGCATGAGCATCGATCTATGCAATTGGGATACGATGACACGTGTGAACCAAGTCAGCGTGCCTGACCACTTCCCAGATAGCATTCGGACGTTGGCCCAACGTTGGCAATGTTGGCAAAACCATTGCCAACGTTGGGTCAACGTCTGAATGCTATCTGGGTTTAATCCCGTTAGTCGCCTCATACGACAAGCATGGGTTTATCGAACAATAAGCCAACAATGATAGGTCATTTGATGTAACAGTTAACCGTAGATGAGGAAGTTGATCAGTTGACACGAACTATACTGACTAGGCGTGTCATTCTGATTAAATGGTTATTAAAAGCAAAAAGGACTCAGTTAACGCGGCAACACAGATGGTTTGATTTCATAGGCACTTTGGTAGCAGCAAGCGATATCGCTTTTTCGAAGCGGTAACACGAGACGAGAAACCAAAAACGCAAGACGATAAAGCGATAACGGCCGTAATGATGAAGGCGATAAAGACATGTCCCTTCTAACAGTGAGTGAGTTTGGTTTTAGTAACTCCGCTTTTAGCAATACTCCAGCAACATCACGGCGGGGGACACCAGAAATGGTCTTCACACATTGTACCCATGTGGGGAATCGTACCCCGGGCCTTTGGTGTGACGCGTATTAATACAATACAGCTATTAACTGTTTGCACTCTTCCAATCCACGATCAAAGGACTGCAGGTGTAGTCTATAGTTATGTTTGGAGCATGTAAAGCTACTCTGGGCTTGACATGCGCTGCATCAACACGAGAACTCCGGCATCGTATACCCTAAAATCTGTAAATTGTTGATACAAGTGACGAAAACATAACCACCATTCAGTGATTGTACAAGAGAGAGGACACCCTATGCCCCTGAAGACATCACAGCTGGTGAGCTTGTTGCTGCACCAACACAACAGTGACTTAACGGGAACTGAGTCTCTCCATTTTGTCGATTCGTATATGGTGCAATTGTCCAGAACTGACCCCAGAATCTTCTTTTTCCGTTGAAATCCGTATAATCCAGCTGTAAGACTGCAATCTGCAAATGATCGATTCTGGACCAGTCAATCCAGTGACCAACATCATGAGCATAGATCTACGCTATTCTGGTACGATGACATGCTTCAACCAGTCAACGAATTTGTCCATCCGATCCCGTTAGTCGCCTCTTAAACCAAGCATGGGTTAATTTAATGAAATATTTACTAAAACCTGGGTTTGGGGGGAAATACTAATGAAATAAATATGTCTTTAATGAGGTGTTTAAAGTCTTTTGAATCTGAAAAATGTCAAGCTGTCTGGACCGTGAGGAATTTGTGATTATGTTTCAAAAGCGAAGAATCTTATAACACCCCGTATGACTAAACTCAACAGGATGTTTGTTACGGAAACATTTCCTCAAGATATGAGGAATGGAATCGCGAACCTGCAAACCTTCAGGTCCCAGTTATCACCGTGTCATATATAATGTTGACTCGCTATGTCAAGTTCGGTCAGATATCATGGGTAAAGGATTCAAGTTTCGATGTGACAGATATGATATAATACACTGATCTCAAGCTGGGTTTGGGATAACTAGTCTGTCTCACAGTCACTGAACCACATTATTTTGCCTACTGCCAAGCCCTTTCTGCAGTGCTAAAGCCTAACTAAAGCAAATCTCGATTTCCTCAGGTTCTGAATCTCTGGTCTCCCTGGGGCTCCTTTTAAAATTTAATTGGGCTTGTTTGTTACTATCAAAATTATATATATTCAGAGACTAAGCATTAGTCTAACCGCCGTGATGTTGCTGGAATATTGCTAAAAACGGCGTAAAACCAAACTCAGTCAGTCAGTCATTAGTCTAAGGGATAACCAACTGTTCATCTCATTTTGACGTCACATTCTTAAATGCTTGTCAGAGCCACAGGGTAGATTTTACAGAATCTTCGTTGACTTGCGACACACGATAATGGGGTTCTGGGTGCCGTTCCACTAACCGATCTTATCTAAGATCAATCTTAGCAAGTTACGCCAATTTTACAATCGTCTTAGCTAAAAGTTACACCCGTTCCACTAACCGCTCTTGGGCCGATCGTAGCCGGTCCCGATCTTACGATCCGATCCAAGCTTAGATCGAGACTCTTTCGTGCGAGAGATAGAGGAATGCGAGGCACGCGTTATCTCCCTTTGCATAGTCTAGCAAATGATAGAAAGTAGTTTACGAACCAACTGAGTGAGTAAGTGAGTTTAGATTTACGCCGCACTCAGCAATAGTCCAGCTATATGGCGGCGGTCTGTAAATAATCTAGCTAAGATGCATAGCGTTCACTAACATGAGCGTCTAGACCAGACAATCCAGTGATCAACAGCATGCGCATCGATCTGCGCAGTTGGGAACCGATGACATGTGTCAACCAAGTCAGCGAGCCTGACCACCCGATCCCGTTAGTGGCCTCTTACGACAGGCATGGGTTATTGAAGTTCAATATTCTAACACGGTCCTTCATGGGTATTTTTCCAACCAAGTGTAAACGTGGAGAAAAAACCTAGAGCAAAATATTAGGGTAGTGAGCACCTTGGTTTCAGGTGCAAGTGCATGAGAACGCTGGATATCAAGCATAATATAATAATAATAAATGCATAATTATAGTGCGCCTATTCCTCATCCTTGGGCATGCTCAAAGCGCTGTGTACAGATAATTTACACGAGAATATTTACAGCCGAGATTATAAGTAATATACTGAGAACAGGTTTTAAGTCTGGACTTTAAAAATGTCAATTGTGTCAGAGCTTTTAATATGTGCCTGAACCTTGTCAATCAGAATAAACAAGGCGTGACGAGGCTATGACGTATGTAGAATCTGTTAGTGGTCTTGAATAACACGCGGCCTGCCTTTAGAATCCCCCACCAAATATGCGCAGTGAAATCAAGCATATTTGTATCTTTTTGCTTCAGAACATTGTTCACTTCACGGCTGTCCCTATTCTTAACCATGACGTTGCAATATTGTTGTACAAATGTGTTACACCGACTCGCTCGGTTGTGTTCCCATGACGACAGTGGTCAGACTGGCCTGACATTTGTAAAGGCTTGTTCAGCGCAGTGTTTGTTTACATCACAGAAATATACAAATTCATTTCATGGGGGACTTTAGGGGACGCTCACGGTGAAATGCTCGCTCTTATTTTTCACACAGAATAGGAAAGCCACCATTTTGGTTTCTCTACGATTGATTTTAGCTATCCTAAGTTGGTCATGAGCAACTTAGACTTTGAATCATAACTTTACGATTGACTTAGGTAAGATTGGTTAGTGGAACGGTATGCCGATCGTAACGTCACACTAAGATTGGGATTTTAGGGGTTTACGACTGGCATAGGGCTAAGATCGGTTAGTGGAACGGCACCCTGGACGTGTTGGATTTTAAGGCTGCTTTATAAATTTATTGTAGCTGTGCAATCCATTTGTCTGCCGGTTAAGACTTCAATGCGATGTATATCGATCCATACAGTTTATCTGATTAGTGGATCCAAGCAGTGTATCTGATTCCTAGATCCATGCGGTTTATCCGATCACTGGATGCAAGCAGTTTATCTGATCCAAGTTGTGTATCTGATTCTTGGGTCCAAGCGGTGTATCTCATACCTAAATCCAAGCAGTTTATTTGATTCCTGGATACATACAGCTTATCTGATTCGTGGATCCAAGCAGTGTGTCTGATTCCTGGGTCCAATCTGTTAATATGATTACAGGATCCATGCAATATATCTGATTCCTGGATCCAAGCAGTGTGTCTGATTCCAGGATGCAAGCAGTTTATATGTTTCCTGGATCCAAGTGATGTATCCGATTCCTGGATCCAAGAGGTTTATCCAATTCATGGATGCAAGCAGTTTATATGATTCCTGGATCCGAGAGGTTTATCTAATTACAGGATCCAAGTGGTGTATCTGATTCCTGGATCCGAGCGGTTTATCTAATTACAGGATCCAAGTGGTGTATCTGATTCCTGGATCCGAGCGGTTTATCTAATTACAGGATCCAAGTGGTGTATCTGATTCCTGGATCCGAGCGGTTTATCTAATTACAGGATCCAAGTGGTGTATCTGATTCCTGGATCCGAGCGGTTTATCTAATAACAGGATCCAAGTGGTGTATCTGATTCCTGGATCCGAGCGGTTTATCTAATTACAGGATCCAAGCAGGGTATCTGGATCCAAGCAGTTTATCTGATTCCTGGATGGCTCCGTGCTGTTTATCTGATTCCTGGATCCAAGCAGTTTATCTGATTCCTGGATCCAAGCAGGGTATCTGATTCCTGGATCCAAGCGGTGTATCTGGATTCATGCGGTTTATCTCATTCATGGATCCAAACGGTTTATCTGATTCCTGGATCCAAGCAGTTAGCTTGATCCAAGCAGTTTATCTGAATCCTGAATGGATCAATACGGTTTATCTGATTCGTAGATGGATCCAAGCGGTTTATCTGATTCGGGGATCCAGGATGATAGCGTGGGATAAAGCATATTTACATTTTCTTGCAAGAATCAGTCCAGCCTAGGGGCAGACTTAAACTTAAGAAGTTGTGGTATATACAAAACTTCAAAAAGTATATATTATCGTTTTATCCATACCTGCTAATGCTCTGTTTGTTTGCTGCTAAACTTTGCACTCTGCATTGTTCCAGCTCAATAACGGCGGTCTGTAAATGATGAACTCAGGTGATAAAGTCACTGACATCATGAACATTGATCTACGCAATAGGGATACAACGACATACATAAACCACTAGACTAATGCTTAGTCTCTGAATATATATAATTTTGATAGTAACAAACAAGCCCATTTAAATTGAAAAGGAGCCCCAGGGAGACCAGATACTCAGAACCTGAGGAAATCTAGACTTGCTTTATTGAGAGCTTTAGCACTGCCGAGAGGGCTTGGCAGTAGGGAAAATAATGTGGTTCAGGGACTGTGAGACAGACTAATAAACCACGTCAGCGAGCCTGACCACCCGACGATGGTAGTTGCCACTTGCGACAAACATGGGTTGCTGTAACACGGATCTTCACGGGAGGCCCACGTTATTAAAAATATGCAGATGCATATGCAGATACAGACTTTAATGATACAAACTGGTCAACTGATAAATCAGCCTGCTTATAGATCCCAAATTGAACGTTAACAATAAGCAGATTAGAATAATAACATCCACTGAGTGCAGGGTAACGGGGACAATACCTTTGTTTTGGTACCGTGCGTGTTAACGTTCCTTTGGTATTTCTTAAACACAACCAAACATGAGGGTGCTCATCCCATTTGGTACGCCGGATGCCGCAAAGTAGTCAGGTTGAGGCTCGTGTTTGTTCAAAGCGCCTTTATATAGCTGGAATAGTTCCGAATGCTGCCTGAAGCGAACAAAAAAACCAAGACAAATAAGAAACAATCTTGCAAAGCGTGTTAGATGACGTTAAATATTTGACGTTATAGTTCCCGAATATATTCGAAACATAGTTTAACGTACACAGTTCCGGACTTGACATGCTAGTTTTGGTCAGGAAGCTCATGTGGCAAACAAAGGCCCATGCGGCTCTGCCACGGAAGCCAAGCGTGTGTGTTAACGTGCTGACTGAATGAACTGAGGTGTGTAGTTGGAACGCCCTGTATGTGTTGATGTCGGCCGTTGGTCACCTAGTTACCTGTAGCCTGGTGGAATCACCCAGAAATTACCAGGATCAGTACCAGCTTCACCCAGACACCTGTAGCCTGGTGGAAGCCCCCCGAAAGTACCAGGAACAGTACCAGCTTCACCAAGACACCTGTAGCCTGGTGGAAGCCCCCAGAAATTACCAGGAACAGTACCAGCTTCACCCAGACACCTGTAGCCTGGTGGAAGCCCCAGAAAGTACCAGGAACAGTACCAGCTTCACCTAGACACCTGGAGCTTGGTTGAAGCCCCCAGAAATTACCAGGATCAGTACCAGCTTCACCCAGACACCTGTAGCCTGGTGGAAGCCCCCCGAAAGTACCAGGAACAGTACCAGCTTCACCAAGACACCTGTAGCCTGGTGGAAGTCCTCAGAAATTACCAGGAACAGTACCAGCTTCACCCAGACACCTGTAGCCTGGTGGAAGTCCTCAGAAATTACCAGGAACAGTACCAGCTTCACCCAGACACCTGTAGCCTGGTGGAAGTCCCCAGAAATTACCAGGAACAGTACCAGCTTCACCCAGACAAGCCTGGTGGAACCAGAAATTACCAGGAACAGTACCAGCTTCACCCAGACACCTGTAGCCTGGTGGAAGTCCCCAGAAATTACCAGGAACAGTACCAGCTTCACCCAGACACCTGGAGCCTGGTGGAAGTCCTCAGAAATTACCAGGAACAGTACCAGCTTCACCCAGGCACCTGGAGCTTGGTGGAAGTCCCCAGAAATTACCAGGAACAGTACCAGCTTCACCGAGACACCTGGAGCTTGGTGGAAGTCCCCAGAAATTACCAGGAACAGTACCACCGAGTCACCTGGAGCTTGGTGGAAGCCTCCAGAAATTACCAGGAACAGTACCAGCTTCACCGAGACACCTGGAGCCTGGTGGAAGCCCCCAGAAACTACCAGGAACAGTACCAGCTTCACCGAGACACCGTGCAAATTGAAAATGAAAGTTATGGCAAGATGCATTACCCGAATTAATATTAATGATATACTTTATTGACTCGTCATAAGATATGGATCGTTGGTAAGCGTGGTTTCACAGCATTCCGTTTATCAGGATGCGGGACCAGATTATTGTCGCCTGTTAATTACATTACTGGTAATATTTCACTTTTCATAGATGTAAGTATAATAGGTTTTCGGACTTTAGTAGAAAGGTAATGATATATATTGTATCTAGAACATACGCGACAGCATATGTTGCAGCAGCTGTTTGGCGGCATCCACACACTAGGAGAGCACCGAGACGTGAGAGTTGCTGGAAGGTATGTCTTGTCTACTAAGTAGATTGAGTCGATGGCAAATTGTGCTACCGGTTTTCGCGAACACCTTGTATTATAACTGATTTTCAGTGGTCTATTCATATCATTTTCACAGCTATTTTGTCTTTTCCACCAAACTGAACCCTTTTTGAGGACGGTAGAGACTGGATATTCTTTTCCAGTGATTATATATAAGTTAAATACCTTGTACTACGTCTGTATCTGGTTGCTTAACAGGGTCGAGGAAAAATATATTTATATCGAAACGTTGTGTGTGTTTTCTAATTCTGAATTGCAAATTAACGTGTTCGATAAAGAAACAGGACTGGGAGAAACGTGGAACTGAAAACCAGCAATCGTGACGTTCTATATCAGAATTTCAAACAGTTTTCAAGCACCTTGCCGCGATATCAATTGAATCGTATCGAGACACGTCTGCAATGTATGCAGACAGATGTTTAAACTCAGGAACGTTTTTCTTCTATGTCTGTTCCCAGCTCTTTGAGAACCGCCTCCGTGCGTGGTGTAGTGGTTAAAGCGTCCGCCCGGAGAGCGGAAGATCGCGGGTTCGATCCCCGGCCGCTTCATACCAAAAGACGTTAAGACATGGTACTTGTTGGTCACTGCCTGGCGCTCGGCATAAATGGGTACAACAAGGACTGGTCGGCTCGGAGTCAGTACAATATGTTTGAGTGGGGTATGCTTAGCTGCGGCATGGTATCTCAGTGGGCTAACACTTTAAAACCAACTTAAGTCTGGGCTAGTGCAAGCATCCACACATACACACGCATGCACGTCGTCATATGAGCAAAATATTCTTAAGTGCGACGTTAAACCCCACTTCTCCTCACCTCACCTCATTTCACCTCATCTCACCCAGCTGTTTACGGTAGTTTTGAATAATCGGTAGTCGAAATGAATCTATTTTTAAGTGATAACCGCACCGGTTGTTAAATTTAATTGACTGGTAAATCTCAATCTTTAACAAACCGTTTGAAGCAAAAGTAAACCCAAGCAGAGTCCCAAAAGGACCAGAAAATAGAATTAAACTATTCAACAAGTATGGAAATCTCTTGAAAACATGGAAGTGTCCAAAACGTCCATTTGGGGGCACTTCGCTAGTCGTCCACCCAAAACGTGCAGGGTAGATCCCTAATTAATGCCCCTCACAAGACAGGATATTCCAATGATATAGTACAGTAGAACAGTAGAGGACTAATAACAACTTTCAGAGAATTACTGTATTTGTTCAGGATTTTACACCATCAGCACTTAGTCTGCAGGAAACATATAAGTTATAACAGGCAGATTCTTTTAACTTGCTTCATTTCAATGCATATCATTATGTTTCACCCTGGTTCAGCAGACTGTTATCCATATCCCTGCTACACATACTACTAATCTTCAAACTGCACATTTAGGACCCACTACAGATTTTATTTTATGCCATTTTGCAACTCCCGTCACGTCCCGTGCCTATTGACACCTGTGAATCCAAATGTTTCTCCAACCTAAATCTGTGTTTTCACTTGGAAAACGGAAGAAATAATCTTTACATTATTCCAGGACGCCGTGCATCCCCAGACAACACAATACACCATCTTACCATTTACAAAAACGACAGAAAAATGCGGTTTACATTACTGTAGGGCTTGGCCTTAGGCAATATGTCCGACCTTTGTCATATATGACGTCACGAGTGAAAAGGTCACGTGAGTTGTCAGCGGAATGTGCATAATGGCCGAAGCTCAGATAACAGTTTTCGCGATTAAAATATGAATAAATAATACTTTTGAATTAAAAATTGGGGTACATGATTCTGATGACTTTATCTTTCACCCAGTCATTTTATTGCAGTTTTCTAGCATTCTCCTCTAATAACGAGTTTTCTTTGTTCTTTAGCGAGATGCATTTAATAAGGGCATTTTCCTAGATGTCTGCAACACGTCAGAAAACTAAACTCTATCGTGCTTGAGCCCTATGTTGTAAATACAGATATATTCTAACCTTCTCCAGTCACTGTCAATAGGTCTAATTCTCGCACCTATGTAGGTCAGAGACAATGGCGACAAATGACTCGGCAAAACCTGAGTGGGCAAACTGCTCGACATAACTTGAATGTGCGATAAAGGCTTACCTGAACTGCAAACAGGACAAGGCCGATATTGCCTCAGAGTTTTTTTAATGGGACATGACGTGTCCAATACTGCCTCAGTCCTATTCAACTGGATAGGACAAAGCCAATATGGCCTCAGTGTTATTGAACGGGACAGGACAAGGCCAATATGGCTTCACTGTTATTGAACGAGATAGGACAAGGCCAATATGGCTTCACTGTTATTGAACGAGACAGGACAAGGCCAATATGGCTTCACTGTTATTGAACGAGACAGGGCACAGCCAATATGGCCTCGGTGTTATTGAACGGGACAGGGCAAGGCCAATAGGGCTTCACTGTTATTGAACGAGACAGGACAAAGCCAATATGGCCTCAGTGTTATTGAACGAGACAGGACAAGGCCAATATGGCTTCACTGTTATTGAACGAGACAGGACAAGGCCAATATGGCTTCACTGTTATTGAACGAGACAGGACAAGGCCAATATGGCTTCACTGTTATTGAACGAGACAGGGCACAGCCAATATGGCCTCAGTGTTATTGAAAGGAACAGGACAAGGCCAATATGGCTTCACTGTTATTGAACGAGACAGGACAAGGCCAATATGGCCTCAGTGTTATTGAACGAGACAGGACAAGGCCAATATGGCCTCAGTGTTATTGAACGAGACAGGACAAAGCCAATATGGCCTCAGTGGTATTGAACGGGACAGGACAAGGCCAATGGCTTCACTGTTACTGTTATTGAACGAGACAGGACAAGGCCAATATGGCCTCTGTGTTATTGAACGAGACAGGACAAGGCCAATATAGCTTCACTGTTATTGAACGAGACAGGACAAGGCCAATATGGCATCGCTGTTATTGAACGAGATAGGACAAAGCCAATATAGCTTCACTCTTATTGAACGAGACAAGACAAGGCCGATATGGCTTCACTGTTATTGAACGAGACAGGGCAAGGCCAATATGGCCTCAGTGTTATTGAAAGGGACAGGACACGACCAATATGGCCCGCAGTGTTATTGAAAGGGACAGGACAAGGCCAATATGGCCCTCAGTGTTATTGAAAGGGACAGGACACGACCAATATGGCCTCAGTGTTATTGAAAGGAACAGGACAAGGCCAATATGGCCCTCAGTGTTATTGAAAGGGACAGGACAAGGCCAATATGTCCCTCAGTGTTATTGAAAGGAACAGGACAAGGCCAATATGGCCCTCAGTGTTATTGAAAGCAACAGGACAAGGCCAATATGGCCCTCAATGTTATTGAAAGGGACAGGACAAGGCCAATATGGCCCTTAGTGTTATTGAAAGGGACAGGACACGACCAATATGGCCTCAGTGTTATTGAAAGGAACAGGACAAGGCCAATATGACCCTAAGTGTTATTGAAAGGGACAGGACACGACCAATATGGCCTCAGTGTTATTGAAAGGAACAGGACAAGGCCAATATGGCCCTCAGTGTTATTGAAAGGGACAGGACAAGGCCAATATGGCCCGCAGTGTTATTGAAAGGAACAGGACAAGGCCAATATGGCCCTCAGTGTTATTGAAAGGGACAGGACAAGGCCAATATGGCCCTCAGTGTTATTGAAAGGAACAGGACAAGGCCAATATGGCCCTCAGTGTTATTGAAAGGGACATGACAAGGCCAATATGGCCCTCAGTGTTATTGAAAGCAACAGGACAAGGCCAATATGGCCCTCAGTGTTATTGAAAGGGACATGACAAGGCCAATATGGCCCTCAGTGTTATTGAAAGGGACAGGACAAGGCCAATATGGCCCTCAGTGTTATTGAAAGGGACAGGACAAGGAGAATATGGTCT